AGTGCTGTTGGATTCAGGATATGAGTTGGCATTGATGCCAGAGGATGGGAAATACCATCATGTTCTCCCAGTTAGGTTGGAGGCTCATGAAAGCCAGGTGGTAAATGAGTTCTTGTGTAAGCTGGTCTGATAGGTCTAAAAATTCACACTGTAGCCCTGGCTGGTGTGGCTCAGTTGGTTGGAGCATCATCACATACACCAAAAGGTGGCAGGTTCGATTCCTGGTCAGGGCACATACCCAGGCTGTGGGTTCCATCCTCTGTTGGGGTGCATATGGGAGGCAACTGATTGATGTTTCTCACATCAGTGTTTCTCTCTCTCTCTCTCAAAAAAAAAAAAAGAAAGAAAGAAAAGAAAAGAAAAAGAAAGATTCACACTGTAGCTCCTGATCCCTAAGTGAGATTGATACACTTAGCAGCTGGCAAGACCCTAGCATTACCCCCTGTCTCATTAAATAAAGGCCATTATGGTAGGAAGGGCCAAATGGGAGCCTCTAACACCCTCACATTTTTTACCAATTTATTAACTCACAAGTAAAACCATATCCTGGGAGCCCTGGGAGGAATTGTGAAGATTAGCTCCAATATCAAGGATTTTTTCTTCTCGATAATCTTCATGATGGGGGACCAAAAACTGTTTGTTTTGCCCTGGCTGGTATTCTCAGTGGTTGGAGCATCCGCCCATCCACCAAGCGTCTCCAGTTTTTTCCCATCAAGGGCATGTACCTGGGTTGCAGATTCAATTCCTGCCCAGTCCCCACACCGTTGGGGTGTGTGCAGGATTCAACCAATAGATGTGAGAGTCAATCTCAATCTCAATCTCTCTCTCTCTCTCTCTCTCTCTCCCCCACCTTCCACTCTCTCTAAAAATCAATGGGAAAAATATCCTTGGGTGAGGATTAACAATAGCAAAAAAACCTGCTTTTATGTGAGATAAATAGCAGTACATATTTACTTTCTTGCCCCTGGGCCATGTGAATTCTCCTGCTCTCTTTCACAGCATAGTTTTTAGTGACTTTGATTGTCTTTGTAGTCCATAGAACATTGTGATGGCTCACTGTATTGGTGGCATCATGCTAATTTGCCATTAATAAGATACTGCATGCCAAAAGTTGGGGGTGGGGGGCGGAGGTGGAGGGCGGGACAGTATGAAGATTCAGGGCCTGCTCTACCGGTGAATTTTTTCTTACCTTTTTATTCTGGGCTGAGTTAAATGTATGTAAAAGCAGACACACTGGTAAAATGAACCCCTAGAACCACCATCATAGCCAATCTTATTGTATCTATATGCTTGCTCGCTTCTTCCATCTCATATTATTTTGAAGCAAATTGGTTAGGTTACTAGGGATCCAGTAGTCAGGAGCATGCCGGGTCATCCCCCATAAGGTAAAGACAAGTTGTTGTACCCTGTACCCTCCACCAGTAAGAAGACATAAAGCTTGGTGGGAATATTACGCTGACCCTTTATTGGGGCTCAGTGAAGCCCAGAGCAGGAGAGCTCTACAGTATGTCTGAGTATAGTGCCAGGTTCTACTATCTGTGCCATATGCCCCAGCAGAAGGATGGTGCTAGAGGTGTTTGTGGTGACAAGATGCTGGACAGAGTCTCCCATTAATCCTAAAAAAAGAGTTTCAGTTCAGATCTCTAAGGTTCCAGAGCATGGTCATGCCTTATGCAGCAGAGAGCTTTTTGCCTTTTGAGAAGCGGCTGTGGCAGTGGGACATCAAGGGTCTATGAAACTAGAGGTGTCCAGTAGGAGTTGGGTATTACCAGATTCTATCCAGTCATAAGATTAAGCAGGCACATCAGCAATCCACCTTATAGCAGAAACAAACGATAGAGTCAGGATCAGGACTGAGCAGGTCCATAAGACTCATGTAAGTTAATGAACAGGTGGCTCTAACTCCTAGGCCACTTAGCTATACTAACACTTCTCCTTTAACTTGAAACTACAGTCTTATGGGATTGTTCTCTATAACCAACTGGTGGGGGAAACACACTCAGGCCTGCCTCACAGATGGGTTAGTTTGATATTAGCCAAAAAAATGGATTGTTACTGCAACACAGCCCCACCTAGGGGTGGCCCTAAAGGACAATGGTTGAGGGAAATCTTCCCAATGGGCCCAGCTGTAAAGTAGTGCACTTGGACATTCATTTTATATGGAGGGCAAAATGGTTCAAGATATGGATCTACATATACTCATAAGCAATGGCAAATAGTTTAGTTGAATAATACTGTTCATCTCTCACACCTGTGCAACCTGGAAAAGTGCAGGGGGGTTGACCAATGGAGCCAGAACTAGGAAACAAATACCTCCTCATTCTAAATAGCTCTTATAAGGTCCCAGTGGGATTGAATCCGTCACCCACAGCAAGGAGAATTGGGACAAGGCTAAGGCAAGTGAAATGAGTGAGGCATTGCCTTGGGTGCAAAACTTAAGGGGGCATAGAGAAATTAAATAATCAAGTTAATTATATTTTAATATATTTTTAAAAAATCAAAATCAGTATAAAATCCATATAAACAAAATATTAAAATCTTAAGTAAAGATAGGATCAATATTGCTAATTTTTTCCTTTGGCCTCTAGCTCCAATATGTCTCAGCACAGCACTGTCATGGTTCCTGGCCATGGCCAGTGACCAGCTCAGTTACACAGTCTTGTGCTGGGCTTCCCTCCCTCTCTATTTGCTCTCCCGTAGTCCCTCACTCCTTTCCCCAGGTTACCACTCATAATAAAATACCTCCACATAAGTTTTGTCTCCAGCTTTGCTCTTTTACTGTGGGAAGAGGAGAGGATGAAATCTGAGCTGAGTAAGATAGTGACCACATTACAGTAAGTATTCACTTCATGTCACCGATAGGTTCCTGGAAACTTCAACTTTAAGGGAAACAACGTCTAAAGAAACCAATTTTACCATAGGCTAATTGATATAAACAAGAGTTAAGTTCCATGACATATTTCTGGCCACAAAAAAATCACCAAACTTCTAAATAAAGACCCCAAAACGCTTCTAATAGTAAACATTGAAGTAAATGTCAGCTATACATACACTTAAGAAAAATTAACAAAAACAAGTAAGATTATTTCCCAATCTGCTTCTTCCAGTTCAGGGTCATAGGTGGCCAGAGACTATCCCAGAAGCTTAGGATGCAAGGCCAGAACCCACCCTGGACAAGACACCCTTCCATGGCAGGGACACACACACACACACACACACACAAGCGTGCGCGCCTGGGCACACACACATAAAGACAAACAACGCATAGTCACTCATACTGGGATGATGGAAACAGGTGAATTAACCTTACATGCACATTTTTGGGATGTGGGAAGAAACCAAAGGACCTGGAGAAAACTCACGCAGACATGGGGAGAGGTGAAAACATCACACAGACGTGGCCCAGGCTGAAAATCGACTATTTTTTCCTCATCAACATAACAAAATGACATTGAATTTGAGGGTGTGATATATATATATATTTCAAAGAACACCTTTGCACGTGAAGGGAAGGGCTATTAATAATTTCGCTGGATTACTAGGCATAAATCAGCGCTGTCCTGGCACATCACGACATATGGTCTGCCAACAAGGAAACTGAGGTGTCAAAGAAGTAGGAAGCCAGGCTACGAGGTGGGGTAAGACTGGAGGCTCCAAAACATGAGGCAGAAATGTCCCTCAGCCTGGTAAGCAGGGGCTGGAGAAGCAAACACACTTGTACAAAATCTCCACTTTGACAGGTCCTTCAGCCTGTCAACTTCCGGCCTGGTGAACCCCAGGACTCTGACAGCAGCCCCAGGCTAGCAGAGGGGCCTTAGGCCTGGACCCTGAGCAGACTGTTATCCCAGCTCTGGTTCCCCGTTAGATCTGGGCAACAAACTGGATCTCCTCCTCCTCCCTTCCTCCCTCCCAGTTCCTGGACTGGGGGCGGTCCCTTCTGCCAACGGGAGGCCTTCCAGCCCAGATGGCTCTGGCAGCCACCCCATAAAGAGCCCTGCGGGGTGAGGAGAGAGGGACGGGATCCAAATGAGAATCCAGGAGCGGTGACAGCAGCGTCTCCATGAAGGGCCCTCACCTGGGCCAGGCTTCCTGTTGAATCCCTTAGCGGCCCACGCAGGACCCTGGCACGACCCCTGCCCCCCACCTCCCTTCGTCCCAGCCTATCTCTGACGCAGAGTGACCTTGCCCGTCCCTTCCGGGCCCTGGGCCTGTTTCCCTTTTTCAAGGTGAGACTCCTGGCTTTCCTAGAGCTCCCGCCCCTCCGGATGCCGCCGCCGGGGACCGAATCCAGCCCTCCCGGGACGGCTGGCGAGCGCGCGCCCCGTCAGCAGGCGCCGGCCGCGGGCGCGGCGTGCGTGC